TCGCGGCTTTGAGATGGAATGGCAGGAAGAGGAGGAGGAGGAGGAGGAGGAGGAGGAGGAGGCGTGGAAGAGAGAACAGGAAGCAGCTGGTCAGATACCAATGGAAAGAGCCACCAGGCATGTAGAAGAAGTTTGTGAGGTTGTCTCACATGCACTGTGAGTGTGGCATGTAGGAGACGCAGAGTAGAAGATTTTGCTAGATCGGGACATGATATTGGTTGAGAGTAGCAAAGATAAGGATACATGATCGAGGAAGATGTATCAGTCCGATGAAACAATGACATGAACGCTTGCTCCATACCATGATGTATGTTGTCAAGGACTGATGATTCTCCTTCCAGTTGAGGGCCTTGTACAGTCTCCTCAAGTCGTCAATTGGAGGATGAGATTGCTGTAACTAGCTCACGATGGAGACATCCCGATCAAGCTGTCTTCCAGCTATCGCCTTGATACTTGCACTGCTGACTGCGATATCTCCCAGCCAAGGTCAGAGCTCTCCTAGCAGCGAATCCTCGAATTCTTCGCTCAACGCTTCCAACGCCACCAATGTTTCATACCCAGCGATGCTTCCTAACCCGTGGGCAAGAGCGGATCCAGGAAGCTGCTTCGTCCTGCCAGTGACAGTGGGAAGGGAAACGATATTCAACGTGTCTGTCAACGCCACCGATGCCTACCCGGTGATCGATTCGACCTTCGGAGCTCCGACAGGGTCGTTCTTGTCACAAGTGAGGACGGAGAACGGACGCAACGTGAGGACCTTTCAGTATCAAGCGCTGCATGGACAGGAGGGATATACATTCAAGGTTTGCTTCTTGACGATGGCTGCTGGCTCCTCCTCCTCCTCCCCGTCCTCCCCTTCCTACTGCACGTCAGGGCCCATTACATCCTTGCCGTCCTCGGCTACTGCAGAGGAGGTGTCGCAAAAGCTTCCTTTCCTGTCTGACTCGTTTCCGTTCTGCGTGTACCTGTACGTCTACTCCATAGACATCTCGGTCAATATCGACTCAGATCAGCCGGTCAGCGACCTCATCGACTCAAACAGCTGCCTGATCAACAAGTACATTGACGTTGGTTTGAACTGCTATCTCAACCTGGACATTTCTTACGTGCAGACGATGGTTCAAGATTTCTCCTCTCTTGAATATCTTCCTACTTACATGAACTACACATACGGGGACTACAACCTCTCTTTCACAGGGAGCAACACGCCGTCTTGCATCAATTGCAAAACTCCCAGTAGATCTCTTCCTCTCAGCGTTGAAACTTGCTGGCAGCTCCCATCGCCAACTGAGTGCTGCGGAAACAACGTGTGCGACGGAGCCGAAACGAGCCTGACATGCCCGCAAGACTGCCAGACGTCCAGGAGCAGGTTGAGGCTACATCGAGTCAACGATACCTTCTCCCAGCTGACCTTCCAGCCCGATATATACAAACAAGGGAGGAGATTGCTGCTCTGTCTGGCTCCAGTCTTGCAAGGCGCTTCCTACCAGCAGTACCTGATCAACTCAGTGACTGTCAACGGGCGGAGGACCTGCGACAATCGCATCTGCTTCATCCTCTACGTCAACCCGTGCAGGTTCTGCATCCTAGACAGTCTGACGGTGTCAACTGTGAACCTGCTAACGCTGGCGAAGATATCTAGAACGATCTTCAATGACATGGACTGGGTCAAGTTCTACAACTACAACCCACATATCTCCAACCCTGACCACTTGCAGCTGCGCGAGGTGATCAACACTGGTGTAACTTATCGGATCAAAGCTGGAGACGATTTGATCCTTATCGCGGGTGAGACCAGCTTTGCTCTCTTGTGAATGACTTCTGCGCGTTGCATGTGTACTCCACCACCACCACCTTCCCCTCCTCCTCCTCCTCCTCCTCTTCCTCCTCCACTACCACCACCACCACCACCATCACCACCATATCTCTCCTTCTACTCATCTCCTCCTCATCTCCTTCTCCTCTCCTTCTCTCCTCCTTCTCTTCTCCTTCTCTACACCTTCTCTACTCCTAATCCTCCGCTATTTCACCTTGTCTTGCTTGTTCTAACTTTCTGAGTCAGCTCGGATGCAAACGACAGTGAAGTCTCTTATCAATCTCAACCCTTTCTTGAACAAGGCGATCTTGATCCCGGGAGAAGAAATTTGTGTAAATATTTGCAACATGCCAACGCCTATGGTTTGATAGCCATAATGCTGTATTTGAATGAAAGACTACATGCTGGTTTCGTCTCCTCATCACTACTGTATCATCAAGCTCTGTCGTCAATCTCTATCAATCTCTATCAATCTCTATCGTCAATCTGTTTTCATGATTTACTTTCTCTCTGACCTAGACTAGAAAGTTAGAACAAACCTTTGTTTACAAACACAAGGTCAGCTCATACTGTGCGTGCTTAAAAAAACACCACCGGTCAAACTTGACAGGTAGAACCGCCGGCATATTTCATGTCCGTCTGCTCTCAAACTTGTGCGTCGCCCCGCTCGCGCTCGGCCTAGCGGAGGGCGAGATGAGCCTCTTCCTCTTCCATCAGCAGCAGATCGCACTTCACTCCGACGACATCGCGTCCCTCCCGCCCTACAGGTGACGCTTACGAGGTTGCTGGACGTGTCTGACTGCTCCTGCCTACAGGGCCTCTGGATCCTCGAGGAGCAAGCTCGATGCTCGCCTTGCCCTCAGCAGGAGCCCAGCAGAGGGCGGGAAGGTCGCCGTGGATGACTTGCGAGCCCCCCGTGTGGTGGAGGATGCTTCGGCAAGCAGAAATGTCTTGAGTGACATGCTCGCGAGCCTGGCGGCTTCTGCTAAGACAGAGGCGACGATCCACCAGACGTTCGTGCCGGCTTCATGGCTGCAGGGGAAGGGGCTGGAGGAAGTGCTGAAGGGGTAAGACGTGTGCCTGTGTTGTTGACGTGTGCCTGTGTTGTTGACGTGTGCCTGTGTTGTTGACGTGTGCCTGTGTTGTTGACGTGTGCCTGTGTTGTTGACGTGTGCCTGTGTTGTTGACGTGTGCCTGTGTTGTTGACGTGTGCCTGTGTTGTTCGTGGATGTGTAGAGAGGTTGCGTTGTCGATACTTGTTTGTCAATGCTTCACTTTTGCTGCATCAAAATCCTCCTCCTCCTCCTCCTCCTCCTATCTTCATCATCTTCTTCATCATCTCTTCAAATTCTTTGCAGTCATCCGTCTTCTGTTTACAAACTCGCTTGAACGAACCATGAATCTGTTCTATCTTGATACAGTCAACTTGTAACACGTTCTTTTCTTCATCCCTTCATCTCTTTCTTGCTCATCAGCTGATGGTTTCTGCTTGCAGCCTTGATCGACATCCTGACAGTCAGATCCGGCTCGACGTTCTTGTCAAAGCGTTTTCAACATGTCTCAAGCAGAGAGATGAAAGAATGTCAGACATTGCTCCTGCTCCTGCTCCTGCTCCTGCTCCTGCTCCTGCTCCTGCTCCTGCTCCTGCTCCTGCTCCTGCTCCTGCTCTTGCTCCTGCCGCCGCCTCTCCTTTTCGTTCTTTATTCATGGTCCTGCTCATGTTGATACTCCTCGAACTTTCTCTCCTCCTCCTCTGACTTGTTCGTCGCAGCGAGAAGAAAAACTTTGTTTTGTTGCGGTCCATGGTCAACAAGTATGTACAATTTAAGGCGGCAAGTCGAAAGATGTTAGAGGTGAAGAGGAGAGGAGAGGAGGGGAGAAGAGAGGAGAAGAGAGGAGAAGAGAGGAGAGGAGAGGAGGGGAGGGAGGTGGGGGAGGGGAGGGGAGAGGAGAGAAGGACAGGACAGGACAGGGATGTAAGATTGGCTATGACAGGCAAGACATCACTTTGACAAAAAGATGGAAGATGGGAGGTGAGGAACTGGGATGGTTTCATACCTGATGGCAATGACGTCGGCACGTGTCAACAGACTGTCTTGCTCGTCAAGTCTGCAGACAATGTTGAGCGAGAGGGACAGGCTGATAGAGAGGACTCGGGAGCTCCAGCGCTGGTTGCAAGAGACTGATTTGTCATGGAGGACAAAGGTAACGAAGAAGTTGATGTTGTTGTTGGAGAGTTGTTCCCAGTGTCAGTGTGTGACTTGGTTGACATTTGCAAACAGTACAAGTCAATCAGTCGATCACTGGTTTTCCTCTGCTTTGCTCAATGGCAGAAATATCAAGAAAGAAAAAGTGAGACGAATGACAATATTCCTCCTCCTCCTCCTCCTCCTCCTCCTCCTCCTCCTCCTCCGCCGGCGGCGGAGGAGATGTCGAGACTTCAGGGAATTTCTTGAACGGACTCATAAAAATTATCCTCTTTACTAATGGAAAATGATTCCTAGTGTCAGGACGTAAGGAGGAGGTGATAACCAGGACTCCTCAGCAACTCGTCTGTACAGCATATACTTCAGATCCTGTGTATAGCCTGTGGCCCATGAGCTCTTCCTTGACGTGCTTCGACCTCTTGTACTCGTCTCTCTCCTTCTCCTCCCCGAGGTTTATCCGCTTCCTGCGG